TGAGGTTAGGCTTGAGCCTCCGGAGCAGCTCTGTGGCCTTAGAGATACCCTCTCCCTCTCTGAGGAGGGGCTTCATCAGACCCAGCTCCCAGGCCATCTTACATGCGAACAGAAGCACGGTGCCACCTGAGGGAGGGCAGAGCAGGGCCTTGGAGGGGCGTTGAGTTTGGCCAGGCCACTTGGTGAGTGTCCGTAGGTGTGTGAGAGAGTTGGGGCTGGGAGCACCCATCAGCTGCACCGTCCCACCTCTCCACACAGCTCCCTCAAGTACAGAAGAGGGCGGGAAACAGCGCCTGAGGGGCAGCTTCCCAGAAACCATTCTGAACTGGGTCTCCATTGGTTCGGTGGAAGATGATGAAAACAGGGTCAGGGTGCCCCCAGCACACCCTGCCATTGCAGATGCTGTTTGCCTCCTGAGATTTTCCTCACAAGCCAGCCAACCACGCGCCAGGCTCCCTTGTTCCCTTGGTAACCAGCACCCACGTCTCATGAGCCCCGTTCACCTTCTTGGAAGACACGCTGACTCTTGCCCCTCCTATTGATGGTCTGTCCTTGCAGTGGTTGCTGGAATCCGGCACCCAGCAGACAGCTGATCACATTCCTCCATCTGTGAAGTCAAAGACATTTGGGAGGTCAGGCCTGCCATTTCCCTGAAAAGCACTTCATTTACCAAATATGAATCCGATTAGAATGTGCATCATCCCCAGCCAGCTGATGAGTTATTACTGTTATTAAAGAAAACAACCTGTCAGGCATTGAGGCAGCACAAGGGTCTGACCAAGGCTGTCATCTCGAGTGGCAGAGTGTGATGTCTTTGGGGTCTGAGGGTCCTTCGGCCCTCACCAGCCTTCCCAGAAGAGCCCCTGCCTGAGTAACACAAGTGGCCTTACTTGCTTTTGTGGAAATGATGCTGGCTCTAGAGGGGCTGGGTGAGCAGAGGAGGGGGTGTGGGTAGCCTGGTCAGTCCAGGACCCATTGTCGTTGCTCAGACACCCAAGGCACGGGGCTTCAGTTCTGCACGGGCCACACTGCCGCCCAGGTTGGGGTGCAGGAGCCAGGGTGCCTGGGTCAGGAGTGGGTACCACCCAGAGGCCGTGCAACAAGGAGGAGCAGCCTGGGCCAGAGGCGCCCTCTTAGATCTCTCTGGGCCTCCATTTCCACATCCCCAAGTGCAGAGATTAGGCTAGATCAGCAGCACCCAAGGGTGGGACTTGCAGATGCTTAGGGAGGTGCAGGACAGGTGCTGAGTGTCACAGCAAGAGCATTCCCACCGGGACTGGAAGCCTTCCTGTTTGGGTGGTCTGATGGATCTTTAGCACCCTTCAAAGACAGCACCCATGACAGCTGGCCCCTGTTTGTTTCTTTAGCTTGTGTATTGTTACTGGCACTTTCTATTTATGCCGGTTTTATATTTACAATAGTAAGTGAAGCACCTTTTATTAGAAAGTAATTTCAAACACACAAAACCCAAACCACTGTCATTGCATCAATTCCACCTCATAGCAACCTTGTAGAACAGAGTAGAACTATTCCCTGGGGCTCCCGAGACTGCAGATCTGTATGGGAGCAGCCAGCCAGCCTTGTAACACACTGTGCCACCAGGGCACCATTGACTTTACAAAGAACTACAGTACGAAGATCATCTGCTTACCTTTACCCAGTTTGGCCTCCTCATTTTACCCCGTTTGCTACTCATTGGCATTCCCATCAGCCCACTCTCACTCCCACCCTGCCCATACCACACATGTACACACACAGACACTTGTTTTTCTGACTAAGTTATGTAAGTCATGGCCTTTTACCTCCAAATATTTCAGTGTGCATTTCCTATGAGTAGGAACACTAATAAACATTAAGTGTCCCCTGGTGTCCATCCTCCCTTGTTGGGGATGTTTGAGTTATCTGGTTAAGATGTTGTCTAGTTTCCTGGGTGCAACTAATAAGCAGGTCATGGGGACACTCTAGGATTAGGACAGCCTTCTCACCGACACTTGTCTCTTGCTTTGGCATCTGTTGAGGAGTCTTGCCTCCTCCAGTCTGTACTTTGCTGGTTGCAAAATGTGCTGTTTCCAGGGAGCAAAAGAGCTGGCATGGTATGAGGGGGGCTTCAAAAAGTGCATGGAGAAATGGAATTGAAAGATGATGGGATTTTTCCATAAATTGTTTGAGCCCACTCTCATGGTTGTGCTGCTGTCAGGTAAGCACTGAATTGTAATCCCAGGGTCAGCAGTTCAATCCCAACCACTATTCTGGGGGAAAAGATGAGGCTGTCTGCTTCAATAAAGATTTACAGTCTCAGGTACCTTCTATAGGTTTGCTTCAAACTGAAATTAACTGGATAGCAGTGAGTTTAGGGCCGGGTTCAAATATGTAGTAGTCTTGTGGCACAACGTCTAAGCTCTCAGCTGATAGACGGAAGGTGGGTGACTCGACTGAAACAAGAGACTCCGTGGGAGAAAGACTTAGGTCATCTGTTCCCAGTAACCTGGCAGCCCTAGGAAACCTGATGGGCAGGTTACCTGGTTCTACTTGGTTACATGGGTTGCTATGAGTTAAAATTGATTCAGCAGTGCCCAGCAACACATACATGCTTACAAGTGTGTATTCTCATCCCTCTGAGTCAATGCTGATGCACAGCTACCCCTGTGGGTTTCTGAGACTGACGGTTTAGGAGAGTAGAAAGCCCTTTCTCTCGCAGAATTGCTGGTGGTTTCAAACTGCCAACCATGCAGATTGAAGCCCAACGCATAACCACTATACCACCAGGGCTCTTGATATTGTACATATGTAGACAGATTTATGTATTAATGTGTATTTTGAGAACATACACACATCCGTGGCCTAGCTGGCAAAGAGGCAAAGACGCCTCACTAACAATGAACATATGGAGTGACCAGATCTCATTCTCCAAGCCACTGCCCATTGAGAGAAATGGCTAGTTCTGGGGATGGGCAGCGGAGGTGCCAGGTGAACCTGGTTAGGCCAGCAAGAAAGAGGATGCTCAAAACCAGGGGGGAGCTTACTGCAAGGAGAGCAGCCAGCTTGAAAGGGTTCACACTGACCAAATCTGGGGCAATCGGAGTCTCCAGATAATAAATACAGTGATGAACTAGAAACATGAGAAAAATTAGGAGCATGAGTTGATACTAATGACAGGGAGGTAAGTCAAGAAGTGAGGGGGAAGGAGGGGCTCGCTTGCAGCAGAGTTTACTGGCCAGGCACAGGGGCTCTCAAGGTCACAAGGTGCCCCAGAGATTCATCCTTGGAGCCTGGGGCCATGAGTTACAATCTGTGGCCACCCGAGCCCATCTCCTACTTTCCCAGCGCAGCAGTATGCACCTGGGACCTAGTAAGGTGGCGGATTGCCAGTCAAGAAGGAGCATGGCCTTGCAGAACCAGGGGCCTCACTCTGACCCTGAAGCTCCACACGTGGCCCATTCTTTCCATGTGATGTTTAAAAGTGGCTTATGGAACCCATTTTAAGAGAAATGATGGAGAATCTGGGGGGACCTTCTCCCCTAAAACATTGTCCCCCTGCTCCCACATGGAATTCTGCATCCAGTGTCAGCAAGGCGGGCTGTGTGTGCAACTGGGGAGAGCCAGGAACCGTCTGTTTGGAGACGAATCTCAGGAAGATAATTCTTCCGCTTCTTCTGGCTGGAGGAGAGGGGCACCTGGTGCAGCTGTGAGGACCAGGGTACAGCTGAGGTTGGGGATCTCACCCTGGGCCCCCTCCTGGATCTCTTTGCCACTTCTCCAGCCTTATGACCTCGGGTGAGTTGCTGCACCCTGGTTGCCCGTCTCCCCATCGTGGCATCCAGGACTGGACCAAGCTAGCAAGTTGCAGACACTTTTGTGAGGAGTCCCAGAGGTTAGGGTCCTCTGTGGAGTGCTGGAGGGATCCCGTCCACTCTAGGCCCAGGGCAGTCCTGCCTTCCAAAACTGACCCCACCAAAGAAGATGGAGAGGCATGGAACTGGACTGCCCTCAGCCTGTTCCCTCCTCCAGAATCTCGGTGTGGTGTCTCGGGAAGGAGAAAAGGCAGAAAGGGGACAACCATGTTACAGCATGCTTGGTCACCAGGCACAGGGATGACACTTACAGCCATCCTGCCTGTGTAGGGATAGTTTTGGCTGGGCCAGGCATCCATTCCCCTGTCCATGGACACCGAGGGAGCATGTGCAACATACCCAGCCCTGGGCCAGACAGGCAGGACAGCTACGCAGATGAAGCCTATGTTCTAGGGACAAAGGCAGACCCCAGACACAGAGACTGTGACATGGGCCAGTTAAAAATGCTCTGAAGTAAAAGCAAGCTGAGGGCAGACAAGGAAAGGGAGCACGCTGGCCAGGCTGGAAGCACACCACATGACTGATGCAGCTGCTCACCCTCCAGAGTCCCTGCCACCGAGTCAGTGCTGCCCCATAACCACCCCTGCCAGTTTCTGACACGCTAATTCTTCGTGGGAGTCGGAAGCCCAGTCTTTAACCCACGCGGCTGCTGGTGGTTTTGAACTGCCGACCATGTGGATTGCAGCCCAACATGTAACCACTGCTGCACCAGGGCTCCTCCTCCGGGAGCTGGGATATCACACACACTCGTCTTTGAATGGGGAACCTTGCTTGATTACTTCCTGTGGAGAAGGGGCAGCGTGGGTTACTGACTCCACAGTGGAGAAGCCTAGTAAGCACCAGCTTGGCCACGTGACAAATCATGGGACAGCACACTCCTCAATGGGACCTGATGCGAAGGTGCTGTTGCTCTGTGGCCCTCCTCCCCCTAACCTATCACTTCTGCCCCACCGTGGGAGGCAATGTCTGACAAACTAAGACCGAGAGACTCTACCATGAACGTAGCATCCTCGACAGACAGTCACAGCCCAGAGGGGTCCAAGGAGATGTACCCACTTCGTGCCATGTGCTGCTCTGGAAAAGAGGACAGGTACTGGGGGGCCTCTGTGGCGTTGGAGGAAGATGTGAGCTGCTGCTCGTTGTGCATTGCCCTCACTGCGTTTCGCGTGACGTAACAGTGTCACTGGCTTTCCACCAGCCCTCCGCCCTCTTTTGGACAGTATTTTGTGGTCGTCATAGGCATTTCATTGGCTACTTTTTGGAAGCAGCTTACCAGGCCTTTGTTTCTCATCTGTCTTAGTCTGGAAGCGCCACTAAAAGCTGCCTTCCTGCCGCCCCCCCCCTCCCTCCCCCCCTCCCCCGGGTGACCCTGCTAGCATTTGGAATACCAGTGGCATGGTTTGGGCATCATACAGCAACACACAGCCACCACAGAGTGACACACTAACAGGCGGGTGTAGGGTATGGAGTTTAGTTAGTGAGGGTTTTCAAAGAAGTAAAGGGAAATGTGGGTGGGAAAGGGGTCTCCCAGGAGGTGGCAGAGCTCTGACTACTATGATTGAGTCGTGGGAAGGGCTGGCCTGGGTGGCAGGCTCCAGGCCCTGAGGCTCTCGGACTTGGGAGAATGCCAGCACAGCTGGCCTGGCGCCAGCAAGCCCAAGAGAGCTGGGAGGTGAGCTCAGAGATGGACAAGGGCCAGCCCCGCAAGGCGCTTGCATTCCATCCCGAGTGTGACGGGAAGGTGTGGAGAGTTTGGAACCGAAGCATGACATGTGCTCATTTCCATTTAAAGCCCCTTTGGCTCTGTTTGGAGAACAGACTAGTGGGGACAAGAAAGGAAGGAGGGTCCAGTTAGGAAGCCCTGCTGGAGGCAGAGGGAGACAGAGGGAGATGGGCTAACGTACCAGAAGGCCGGCGCCCCAGTCCACACATGGTATGTGTTTTCATCCCTCCAGAAACAAATGCAAACCTGCAGTTCATCATCTTTTTTATTTGTTTCCTCATTTCTCCCCAAAACAAAACACGTGTGCCCAGGGCAAAGAACCTCACATTTTGAGAGACCTTAAAGTGCAAAAAACCATCCGCTATAATTCCAGGTTCTCTTTCTTAGCAGTTGATCATTTTCTCTAAAACGTAAAATGCAGACTGGGCTTTCATTAATAATTTTACATTTCCTTTGTTGAACTTGGGCTGGGGGGGCGGGGTAGAAAACCAGGCCCCGGAATACGTGTTCCTCCTAAAAGTTGGGGGTGGAAAGCGGAAAGCATAGGCCTTTGGAGTTAGAGCTGTGACTTTTCTCAAGGGTGTCCACCCCAGCCCGGCCCCTTTGCAGTGAGGGCCAGGTCCAGTGGGCTCCACGCTTCTGGACTGAGTGTTTTGGGTTCTTCTTGGTTGGTTGTCCCTCCTTAGAAACCAGCCTCTGTGAAGAAGTGCCAAGCACGGGCTGGGCTGAGTGAGCTAGGGTAAGCTGTTGTCTTTGGGTTTGTTTCTTTTTCTTTTGGGTCATTGAAGAGGCATTTGCCTCACGAAGTTGCTCATGAGTATTATGCAATCAATTCATCCCCCACTATTATTATGAAGTGCCAGGCACGGTGCTAGGTTTTGGGGGGCACACGGCAGGTGGTCTGAATTCCAGAAGGCGAGGAGCTGCAGCGCGTCTCCCCCAGACCTAACCACACCCCAGACCATCGTCACCGTCTTAAGAGTCAGTCGCTGATAAACCCACTACCATTAAGCCAGTGCTGACTCACAGTGACCCTCTAGGTCACGGAGGGTCGTAGGGTTTCTGAGACTGTAAAAATGTGTGGGAGCAGACAGCCTCAGTGTTCTCCCTCAGGGCAGCTAGTGGGTTCGAACTGCAGACCTTGCAGTTAACAGCCCCACCCTAGCCCATCATGCCACTAGGGATCCTCTCTAAAGTCCACCCAAGCTGAGACCCTTTTCAGTGAGTCTGGTATGTTTAATTGACCACACGTCATTTTTAAGCTGCCTCAAGCGCTCTGGGGAGGAAGTGTGATGACGGGAACAACACATTGCTCTTCTGGTCCCGAGATAAATGGTTGCAATTGGTGTTTTCTTGTCAAAATCAGAGGGACATTTCCTGGACTTTCTGAGGCAGGTGGGAAGAGAGGTTTCCATTGCTGTCTTCTTTGCCCCAAAGCTGCTGTGGTTGGTGTCGATGCTGTGGGATACTAGGAGCCCCCTTCACAGGCTGTGTCTGGAACATGCGCTTGTGTGGATGCAGGTCTGGCTGGCTGCATCCCCGTTTCCCTATTTGCTTCCAGAGATAGAGATGGTGATCATGGAGCGCAGCAAGCTCTCAGAGGTGGCCGGCAGCACTTCCATGCAGGAGCAGAACACCACGGATGAGGAGAAGAGCGCCGCCGCCACAGGCAGCAGCGACAACCTGCAGTGGAGCAGGTAGCGGGCCAGGGGACCCTGCCCCGGGGTGTGCAGGAGAGCAGGTAGCCAACAGGAGGGACTCCCTCCTGGGTGCACTGTGTGTGTGAGGGAGGGGTGGTGTGGCACGTGCAACAGGAACAGATGGCAGAGGAGACCCATTCTCCTGAGCTCACTGTGTGGCGTGGGCAAAGTCGAAAGGAGCCAGCCATTCGATCGCCTGCCCGTTGGTGGGAGTTGCATGCTGCCCCACGATGAGATGATGGGCTAGCAGCGAGGTTCTGGATCTTGGCTAGGGCCACCTAGCCCAGAGTGATCCCTAAGAATTGCTCAGAGCCTCTTTCCACCACGTCATGTGGCCCTTCTCTCTCAGCCAAACCTTCCTGCTTCTCTGTCCTTCCCTGCGTCCTTCAGCTCCCATCCCTCCACCTTTGGATAGAGCCCAAGGGGCAGTGTGCAGTGCCCTCCCTTTGGTAAGAGCTGCCCATCAGAGAGGCTGGGCCCACCTTAGAGTGGCTGTTCCTCAGCTGGCTCCCCCGGGGCAGATGTGGCTCTCTCCCTGCTCCCCTTCACTCCCTACTCTTGGGCACAACAGAAGCTAGTGCTGCTGCCGACCTCGGGCTCTGCCTTCCCTAACCTCAGAACCCACGCTTGCCCACCCAGACTTGGCACTGGACTGTTAGGAAGGCCTTCTCAACTCAAGGAGATGTCCTTAGAGAGTAGCCCATGCACAGCCACCCCCGCCTATCCTTCTTCTTAACCCAAGGTGGCATGGAGTGGCGTGAAGGGCTGAGGCACACTTGTTTCCATGCGCATCTCGTTGAGCACTCTGCTAGGTAAATGCTGTAGTTACCCAAAGCTTCCAGCTGGGTCCAGCTGGCTCAGCAAAAGTGGAACAAGTTCAGATCGGTAAACCGTGGGTGTACTTGGAAAATAACTGCTCCAAGCCTTGGAACCGGAGACCCAGAGGGCAGAGCGCTCATTCCAGAAACATCTAAAATGGTGTGATCGGCGGCCGTCTTTAAGCTGGGCACCACTGTTCCTGACTGTCAGTCCAGAGGTTTGGTTGCTATGTCACGCACCACCAGCCCTTGTTTTCTAAAAGGGAGATAAAGTTTCTCATCACCCATTCCAGCTAGCATTCTGGTATACCCACAGTTTACAAATCCAGGCCTGCCCTGGTTCCACTCTACGGGCCCCGGCGGAGCTAGGAAGAACGGTCCTTTGTGGCTGTTCCTCAGCTAGCCACCCGATGGAATGAGCTTTTATCGGCTGCCCAAAGGAGCCATTTTCAGTTTTAGTGAAAATGAAAACCATATTGGAGGGTGGTGCAGGCTATCAGCTGTTGTAACTGATCACAGCCTCTTTGATTTTGCTTAGCAGCAAAAACTCTTAACACACACACACAGCTCTGAAAATTCAGGAAATCATTCTTAACACAGGAAGGGAGGGGGAAGCAGCTTTAGCTGCCCATCAGCTCTGTTATGTAGGGTGTGCCACACCAGGAATGCTGACCTTGGGGATTGCTTAAGTGAAGATGTATTTGCTTAATAGAGTATGAATCCTTGCTTCGCACTGAATAGTGTCATAATGTGTCCAGTTTTTTTATGAGCTAATCAATGTAAACAGGGCACACGTGCGTAATATGGCACTCTCGTAGCTATGCTAAAGGAAGAAAAACACCCAATCATTACTGAGAACTGAACAGGAAAAGGAAAGGCAAGAACCCAGTCACAGTGCTGGCCTGCCGGCCTGCCCGAACAGGTGGCTTCCTTGACTCTGGGGTTGACTGTGATTGTTTCTTCACTGCCAGGGCCTTTCAGTGGCATCTTCCACCACTCAGTGTGCGATGCTGTGAGTTGTGCCACGTGTGGCCTTGTGAACACGCAGCCCAAGGGCTGCTGGGAGGAGACTGCACTGGGTGAGGCTGCCTTCCCCTCTGCAAGTGTTCATTGTGCAGACCAGAAACCCACCACTGGCCTCGGTCAGCACTGAGGCAGGGAGGGGTTGAGGTTGGACTTGACATTGATCTGTATCCTAAAGAAACAGCCTAGGAAAAGGTGGAATTGTTCCCATGGCCCTCATGCAGTATAGGCTGTGATCCAAAATCAGACCAATTGCTTTGGAATCCGCTTATTCCGATACACAGCCACCTGTAGGACATAGCAGAACTGCCCCTGTGGGTTAGGAAAGCAGACCGCCACATCTTGTCCCTGCAGAGCGGCTGGTGGGTTTAAACTGCCCCACCTTTGGGTTAGTAGGCGAGTGCTTTAACCACGGTGCCACCAGGACTCCTAATATAGGTCTAACTAAAAATTATTCCCAAAAGTCATGTTTTAAAAGTTATAAAAGAAATTCATATTCACACACAAACTCTAAACACTCTAACGACGGAAATGTTTCCACGACACCAGCTGTCACAGGCAGATGTTGTTAACACTTTGATTATGTCTGGCCAGTCCTTCTTTTTTTTTTTCCTCTTCCCAACTTTTTGAGAATGCTGCCCTTTGTTCCACCAGTACTTGGACCATACCATATCCATCCTCTTTTGATTTCCCCCTTTTTCATCAAAAACAAGCACCGAGCGTCTTGTTTCAGTCTGCCTTGCCTTTAGTTAACATCATGCCTCACGGCTGCCTGAGTAGTCACTTCAGAAAAGGTGGACCTCCCCCTTCTGGCTGTCTGAATTGCTCTGTGTGATTCCCAAGGAAAGGACAATCCAGGTTCCAAGTAGCTGATGTTTCTTCCTCCTGCCATGCTTGGGGTGGTGTCACTGATGGGCAGTTAAAAGCCCAGCCCACGTGGGAAACCGTCCTTGGCAGGCCATCTGCCACAGGGGAGCCAGGCGAGGCCGCTCTGAGGCCAGGCAGGTGTGGGGCTTGGAGAAATGGAGACTGCACTCACGAGCATCCCTCCCAGGAGTCTCACGATGACGAGAAGGCCTGCGATTCCAACTGGCCAGCCACTGATCGGGAGAAAGATGAGACCACCCGCTGCTGCCAAGATGCACAGCCTCAGAGACCCCCTGGAGCCATTGCACTCCGTCCTCTGGGGTGGCTCTGGGTTGGGATGGACATCACAGCAGTGGTTCTTCTGCTTAGGGTTCCTGTGTTCCTTTGAAATGTTATAGCCAGTACCTTCCCACCGTGCTGCTTTTGTATCCTCCAATCAGATATCCAGAATCCACACTAGGGCTCAAGATACAAGACATTTCCCAAGACAAGGTTGTGTGTGAACCGAGTCCCTGGCCTTCAGCCCCACCCAGTCTCACCCCCGTTGTGTCCTGCCTAGGGTTGCATGTGCCCTTGGTCCCTTGTTAACGTGGTCTGCTTGGAAAAGCAAGGAGAGAGGACCCGCAGGGTCAGGGTCAGTTCTGTGCACTTCCTGTCATGGTCGGGTCCAGCGCCTTTCTGGACCTTCCACAGGAGGAGGACCTCCCAAGGCAGCCATGCACGTCACCATTGTCAGCCCAGGCCCCCTTGAATATAGCAATAGAAACCAAATCACAGACCCTGAGTCCTGAGCCCTTGTCTGTATGTGCCTGACCCTGAGCAGAATGCCTACCAGCCTTCATCTTCCTCAAACACACACGATAACCCTGCAGAGCTGCAATCCCATTTCACAGATGGGAAAACAGACAGGTTTTCATTCGCTCAACCAGGGGCCTGCAGCCAAGCCCTGGAAGCCTTGGGATTGGAGCCTGGGCTGTCTGCGTCTCGGCCCACAGCCTTGTCTGGACTTGGGGTAGGGGGGTGGGAGGCAGTGTTAATCTGCTACTGGCCGTCCTGCATGCTGCTCATGTCCTCCCTTCCCATCTGCCCAGGGCTGGCCAGTGGATGAGTACACTGGGGAGGGCGTGTCACTTCCTGCCAGTGTCTGCAGCCTCTGGTGAATGATGGCTCCCGGGCCTGTGTCCCTCCAGACAGCAGCTCCTCCCGGGCAAGGCCCAAGCTCTGATGTGTCCTAGAGCCTCAGTGTCGGGGGTGAGGGCCAAGCTAGAGGAGAGTAGGGTGGTCCGCCCCCCCATGTGCAGATGAGGGAGAGCAGGGTTCACTAAGGTCAGGCCCATCCCTCCTCTTCCAGACCCTTCCTGGATATGGTGTACCTGTCCCTGGACAGCCCTGAGGATGACTACCATGCCCTCTTCGTGCTCTGCCTCCTCTATGCCATGTCACATAACAAAGGTAAGGTGCCCGGCAACCGACCTGCCTGCGGCTTCCTTCTCGAGAGCTCTGCTGTGCCGGAGCAACGAGAACTGCTTCCCGACTGCGCAGACCCCCTCACACTGTTTCCCACGCAGTCAGAATGCCTCTGGTGTTTCTCTGCAGGTGGAAGCCACGGGTAGACTCTGTGACAGCGTTGGCCATGTTAGCCAGCACGTCTGCGCTGCTCACCCTGGGGCTTACAGTGGGCCAGCCTTCAGTCTCTTTCCTAACACCAGAGCTGAAGCCAGTCAGATGGGGACACTGGTTTTGCCGTTTTTAACCAGCTATTGCTCTTGCTGGGTTCAAAGAGAAAATTGCTCTGGGTGGGTGGGGCCTGTGGGAGTGCAGGCCTCCTTTCTGAAGAAAGGGGTCCTCCCCAACTCCTTGCTCGCTGCTGACCTCCCGCAGCAGCCCCACAGACCTTGGTGTGGGCGATTTCTGAACCTCCACCTCAGGATCTCGCCAAAGAACTCAAAAGAGCACTCCTGCTGGACCCTGCTGGCAGCGGGCTGGGTGTTAATCTGCTGTTGTACAAGCGAGGTCCGGGAGCTTTTTATTTATTTATATATTTTAATTCAATTTGTTTATTTCGATGAACGATTTTCAAGATTTATAGTTTTATGAAGTAAAAAAAGAATAAAGGTTAACTTAAGACTAAGTAAATCAGAGCTCATAAGTGATTTAAAATTACAAGGCAATTTAGGGTTAATATCCGCATTTCTCAGTATAGAGTTGGGGAAAAACATTTTTAAAGGACAAGTATTATCAACATGCAAATTTGAAGTAAATGAATAAATGCTTGTTTCCTTCCATTTAATTTAAAGCTTTTCGAGTACACATGTATCACATTTTTAGTCACATAAAATTGTCTGGCTTGAGGTGCCCATGAATTTTTGTTTGTTGGTTGGATTTTCAGAATAGGACAAAATATAATTTTAGGTGAAAAAGAATCCTTGGGATAACAAGGCGCCTATAAAATATGTAGCATTTTACTGAATAATATTTTGCGTAGCTTTTTAAAGACACTTTCCGGGAAGTTTCTGAAGGTGGTTTTTACGAAGGCAGTCTATGACTAGAGATGTTTTAAAGCTCTCAGCCTAGCTAGTGGCCGGGGCTGTCCTGAGAGGTCCCTGTTGCAGCCGGTCCATTCTGACTCCCAGGGCTCCACAGGGCAGCCTAGAACTGCCCCTGGGGGTGTCCGAGGCTGACGGTCTCGGCAGCAGCAGTCTGCCACCTCCTTCTCACACAGAGCAGCCACGCACTTTAACCGCTGTGCCAGCAGGGCTCCTGTGCCCCAAAGCTACCAGATCTCCCTCCCCAGAACAAGGACTCCCCAGATGGGATTCAGTTAAGGATTTTGAGATGGGAGATGATTCTGGAAGCTCCGGGTGGACCTTAAAAGCCACCACAAGGGTTCTTACAAGAGTGAGGCAGAGGGTGATTGGGAGCAGACACATAGAGGAGCAGGTGTTGTAAAGACAGAGCCAAGGGGGGTGTCTGAAGAAGTTGTGGTGGGACACAAACCAGGAGGAGGGCTATTGGCATTCAAAGCTGGGCAAGGCAGTGAGGGGTCCCCTCCAGCGACTCGGGGGGTGGGGAGGGTACAGTGCCGCCCTGCCGACACTTGCTTTCAGCCCAGTGATACCGATGTCAGGCTTCAGTCCCAGAACCACGAGAGAATAAGGTTCTGTTGTTTCAGGGCACCCATATTGTGGTTCTTTATCACAGCGCCCACAGGAGATGGATGGAATAGCTGTTTGCTTATTCTTCAGTCATGAGTTCAAGTTGGTGGTAACGTAGTCAGTGTATGACAGAGAACACGCTGTGACACAGATCTCCCTCCCTGCCTGTCCTTTGGCTGTCTGTGTTCATAGTTCCTGTGTGTCGTTGTGAAGATACCAGAGCAAGTGCATAGGTTTTTATTTCTGCTGTCGCTGTTAGGTGCCATTGAATTGGTTCCAGCCCATAGCGACCCCATGCACAACAGAACGAAAGAATGCAAGGCCCTGCACCACCCTCAGAATTGTTCCTATGCCTGAGCCCATTGCTGCAGCCATCTCGTTGACAGCCTTCTTCGTTTCCACGGCCCCTCCGCTTTACTGAGCACGATGTCCTTCTCCAGGCCTCTCCTGACAATATGTCTTAAGTATGTAAGAGGAAGTCTTGCCATCCTTGCTTCTTAAGGAAAACTCTGGCCGTACTTCTTCCAAGATAGTTCGGATTGCCCTTTTAGTAGTCTGTCCACAGTACTTTCGGTATTCTTCTCCAGCACCACAAGTCAAATGTATCCATTCTTCAGTCTTCGTATTCAGAGTCCAACTTGCACATGCACACGAGGCATTGAGAATACCATGACTTGGGTCAGATGCATCTTCGCCCTCAGAGTAACAGCTTTGCTTTTCAGTACTCCAGAAAGGTCTTATGCAGCAGACTTACCTTATGGAAAATGCCGTTTATTTCTACTGCTACATAAAACAGGAGCCCTGCTGGCATTGTGGACTATGTGCTGAGCTGCTAACTATATGGTTAGTAGTTGGAACCCATCAGCTGTGTAAAGATTTAAAGTTTCAGAAACTCAAAAGAACAATTCCACCTGGTCCCATAGGGGCGCTATGAGTCGGAATCGACCAGATGGCAGTGAGGCTACATAAAGTGTGCTGTTCCATAGAGTCTCTTCCAACCTATTCCTCACACATCACTGCATTTCACATCCATGGGCAACATCTGGAGCTGCCTCACTCTTTTCAGCCATCTGCCCAAGCCTCATTGAGTGACATGTAGACACAACCAGACTTTTCCTATGAGAGGCAGGACCCCAGCAGCCCTTCTCACGTGGTCATCACACCCCCTCCCAAGTCTGAGGGTGTGGCCTAGAGCTCGTAACAAAGCGTGGCTGCTACCACATCCTGCAAACAGTCCCCTCCTCCAGTGACTTCTGCAGTCCCTCCACTTGTTGGCTTGGTGCCTGGTACATGGGCCCTCACTGCTGTGGAGTGCAGAGAACTCACGAGCCTGGCCAGCTCCCATCCCTAGAGTGTCCACCACATCTCTGGCACTTGGCCTCTGGGCTCACCTCATGCAGGCTTGTGGCTCTGACTCTTGTTCTTTACCTGCTACCCCTCCAAAAAGTCTGTCTCCCATTAACCTCAGTTTCCCCCCACCCCATCTCTAATAAATACCCCCACCCCTGTCACACTCCCTGGCATTCTGGTTTACTTGAAATTGCCAACTCTGTTAGGCCAGGTTGTCTAGAGAACAAATCCAATGAGACTCATCTATGTATAAGAAAGAACTTTATATCAAGAAGTAATTATGTACCAAGAAGCCATCCCAGCCCAGTTCAACTCAAGTCCATTGTCTGATGCTAGTCCCTAATCCCTCTTCAGACTCGCATAGCTGCAGGCTGGTAACGCAAATAGTGAAGCTGGAAGCAGGAAGATCGTAGGCCAGTGAGTGCAGAGGCGTTTGGATCCAAGGTCAATACAAATAAGGCAGGCACCAACAGCTCTCAGAGTTGGTGGCAGGTTGAAATCCACCCTTACACTTGCATAAAAATTCAAGTTGATATAAATCCATCCAACTACCACAGCAACTATGGCTAAAGCTACTCTTAGCCTCTCTTCCTCGTCTGAATGATGCCAACATACAGTCATCAGGTTTGGTCAGTTCTCACCTCTTAGCTCTCCCATAAGCAGACTTTAACTGACTGTCTGTCTACTCGGCATTGGGCCCTGCAGCCCTGGGGCTGGAGGCAAGAACCAAAACACAGGAGCAAGAGGTGTGCACGTCCAATCAGTGGTCCTTGCTTCAGGAGATGGACTTGTGACTACAATCATGCTGCTCACTGCCAACATTCTTTGGGTTTCAAGTGCAGGAGTACTGTCATTAACATTGGCTTTCCTGGCAAGCCTATAGAAAGGCCACTAGGAAGCTCATAGGGTCCAAGAAGTCGCTAAAAGGCCTAGGGAAGGATAGGAATGTGCCAGCTCTGGGCATTTCAGCCACGAGAGATCAGAGACTTTTTCTTAAGGGTTCTGCTTTAATCCCAGAAAATCCCAGGTTGAGAACCTGTCTCGACCAAGCTTCATATTCTGTTCAAGTGATCTGGCTATTCTAGCTAGATGGTGTGTCTAACTCTAGAACCATTAGTTGTAGCTGGGGGCCGTGTCCCCCAGCACAGACTTGGCCCTAAGGAGATTCATCTGTGTCCCAGAGAAAGGAGTGTCTTTGGAGGCCTGACAACAGTAACTAACACACCTACTTCTGCTGGCTGTTGTTAGGGTCCATCCAGTTGCTTCTGACTCATAGCAGCCCTATGTACAACAGAACAAAACTGCCCTGCCCTGTGCCTTCTTCACAACGGTTATTAAGATTGAACCCATGTTTGCAGCCACGCTTGTCAGTCCATCTTATCAAAGGCCTTCCTCTTTTTCACGGCCCCTCTACTTTACCAAGCATGACCTCCTCCTCCAGGGACTGGTCCGATGCCAACATGTTCCAAATTCATGAGTGGACGTCCCTCCATCTCTGCCTCTAAGGAGCATTCTGGCCGTATTTCTTTGAAGACGGATCATTTGTCCTTTTGGCAGTCCATTGTACTTTTCAGCATTCTTCGTCAGCACCGGAGTTCACATCCATCCATTCTTCTTCCATCTTCCTTATTTAGTGTCCATCTTTCACATGCACATGAGGCCATTGAAAATACCATGGCTTGGGTCAGGCGCACCTTAGTCTACAAAGTAACACCCTTGCTTTCCGACCTCCAACGGGCTCGTGTGCAGCAGATTGACCCTGTGCAATATGTCTGATAAGCCATGCTCCTGAGTAGTCTGCCATTTGCTTGCCCTCATTCGCAGATTTTTTCCCCGTGACTTCCTCTTTCTCAACTTTGAAACCTATTGAAATTCTACTTGTCTGGGTCCACTGAGAAATCACTTTCTCCAGGAAACCCTCTCTGATCCCTTCAGGTAATGTTCATA